AATCTGTACATATGCATAAACTCAGGAAAAGAATATGAACTCTGCAGATTAATGTCAATTCTAAAGGAAGGTTTTCCTATCTTCTGTTCTTTCCTCGATTTGCAGGAGGCATTCAAAGCAGTTGAAGATGTTTACAGACTCGTGCAGCTGTCCAAGAGGCCTCCAAAGCCTCAAGTGATGGCCAATTACTATCAGAAGGTTGCTCTTGTCTTCTGGAAAGCTGAGAATTACTTATTCCATGCATGCACTCTCCATAGATTGTATGTGTTGTCAAAGGAACAGAAACGTACAATGACAACAGAGGAACACTAGAAGTAAGTACATCTTGGGAACTTTTCTTTGTATGTACGGAGAATCTCATTTTTCCAACTTGCTGAGGAAAAGGACCTTGAAGGGAAAAATTACAGTGTCCTTATGAGAAAGGAAAACAAGGTTTTAGTCATTGAATAATAGAGTAGTTAAGAAGTCATGTGTATAGTAATTTTAATTCCTTGGTATATGCAAGAATGTCATGCAGTCAGTTTTTTCTTTTTCGCCCCTGTTTCAACCCAATTCCACCTCCCCATCTTTTGAGGTGGAGGACTACCTATTCTTGGGTTACATGTACATCCAGCGAGTTTCTTAATGTACAAGATTTCAGTTCAGATTTGTGCATTTACAGCATCTCTGCACAGTGGGTTAAACAGGGTAAAGATGGTAAAGAGTAGAAAAAGGCCAGAAATGGCTCATTTAATGCTAAACAGTGCACACAGTTATTGCAAGAGTTTGTGGAGTCCTGAGGCATGTTGTACAGAAAGGAAAGGCCAGTGCTCCTGGCTAATTCTGTCAGCCTATTGATTTTGAGTTGGCATGTAATCATACTTTTGATGTCTGTCTTTGTCTTAAGTACATACATTGTAATGGCCACTGAGAAGAGTGTTATTGAAATAGGCCTTTTGCAGCTAGAGATTCGTGCTTAGATACCGCATAGCAACGCCATACTGGAGAGCAAGCACTCAAGTGATCTCAGACAGTGTAGAGGTCACAGAGGTCTACATTCAAACAAAGAATACAGCGGATAACAGGTCAAAAGGTATCCCAATTGGAGAAATCCAGTAAGAAGTAATAAACAGCTTCCCCGGAGTGTATCAGGAGCAAAATCACACCAAAATTCGTTTTTCACTGATACACTCCAAGGGAGCTGTTGATTAAAACTTACAAGATTTCTCGAATTGAGATACCCTTTAACTTGTTATCTCCTGTATTCTTTTTTTGAATGCAGACCTCTGTGATCTCTATTTTGTCTGAGATCACTGGAGTGCTTGCTCTCCAGTATGGTGTTGCTATGCGGTATCTAAGCACGCGATCTTTAACTGCAAAAGGCCTATTACTGATACTCACATGTGGAGAATTTTTCTTTTTACCTTGTCAGAATGGCAACCAGAGTTGTTCTAGCAACCCTAGCCATTCCAATCCCAGTGTCCCTCAGTGAAACAGAAAGACATCTGGAGTTAGATGAGATTGCATGGGAAAAGTCTCGTCGTTTAGCCAGCCTTCTTGGGCTGCAGACCATCCCCACCAGAGCATCACTATATTNCCGAAATACTCGTTCAAATCTTGAGCGGTCTCTCTATCCAGCGAAACGTTTGTGGACCGCCGGCGTTGAGATATCAAGTCTACGTTTTTCCACCATTCTCTGCTCCCCATTTTGCCCTCCAGAAGCATCCTTCTGTTTTCGCCAATAACCTTCAACACATTTCTACTAAGCTCTCTATGCTTATTAGTACGTAAAACAGAGATGCGAGACTTGCTACGTAGCATGTATTTAACTAGCGGTGTCATCCAACTTGGATCACGGGACGAAAGGGAAACCGTTCGTAAAGGCATGCACCAGTTAATATTTGCCAGGATCTTCAATTCTAAGATGTTCACAGCTGTTTCGATACTATCCGCCTCCAAAACATCATCCCAGCATTCTGATGCGAGGGCAAGGTAAAGAGCTTGCTTCCTATGCTCACGACAATCCCTAAATTGCACTTTCTTACGAATAGGCTTGAGTTTCTTGCCCGCTGGAACTATAAATCCAATGTGATCCGTCTTAATCAGCATCTTTATAGATAAAGCTTTTCCGAAGAGCTCTGGCCTATCTGTAAGACAATTATCCAAAAATGAATCCCCTCGTGTTGGAAAATCCACTAAAGCAGTCCAACCAGTAATGCGTTTAAGTCTCGTGAGATCAAGGTGATTAAGATCGCCACCGCAAACAATAGTAGCGTTTGGGTGATTATCCAGCATTGTGTCAAAGACATTAAGAAGATAATCCATTAAATCGCATTGCTGGTATGATGTCTTCGGGGGGTGATAAAGACCAGATAAAAGAATGTAATTCCCACTTGGCAGCAACACAGTCAGGCAAATAAACTCGTATAAATTAGAACGATAAACATCAATAACTGAAAGATTACTCCTTGTATAGATAGCAACACCTCCCCCATTCCTTAGATCGCATCCAGACCAATTCCTATCCCTTCTGAAGATATTATAACCCGAGATATTGACCACCGTATCGGGTACCTCAATTTTTAAATGAGTTTCCGACACAACACAAGCATCGATGTCATTATTTCTTAAGTCGGCCTCCAGAGCCACAACCGCTCGCACCCGACTAGTTGTTTTCCCCAAACTACAGATGTTAATAAACAAAAGTTTAGGGACAGCAAGCTGACCAGAACTAACAGAGGTGTGTTCGCGGGACACCACTTGTTTTGGTACACTGACGAGATTGCTAGGGTTTCGTCGTTTTTCAACCCGCAGTCGGGGAATAGCAAACCCACTTTCCGCCCTTCGTCCAATGACGACAGAAATATTCTGAATAGATCTCTCCTTCACATGCTGAACATTTTTTCTCAAACCTCCCCGATTACCACGAAACCTGAGCAGCTGTAGTTTCTTAAGCGTCTCTAAGACAGGGCTCGAAGGTTTACCAGATTTCTTTCTCAAACCGAGTAAATAGTTTCTTCCATAACATGGAATCTTACTTTCGTCCGACCAGGTTTGCTTTCGTAGATCATAGCTCTTCTCTGAAGAAATAGGACCAGGGTTCGTCTCCACATCCATAAAAACTGTAATATCTATCGTTAACAGGGAGCAATCCGTCGCCGCAAGCAGTATATAACCATGTTTAACCCATTTCATGATAGGCCTTCGAAGTCTATCATGGCGGTGCACTCTTGTTGAGTAGCACTTACGAGCTGAGAAGGAAATTCCAAAGACGTCGCAACCAACCGAACTTTTTCCTCTCCAAATAGGCTTGAGAGAGTCAAAGTCTTCATCCAAGTATATATTGTAATAAAATTGAAGCTTAAAATTGATTAAAATAGCTAATAGAAGAGGAGCCAATATCCTCGTGGCCGCCATACTCGGCGCCTGCGCATAAGCCCCACTTATAAATGAAATGGTAGGGTTTGCAGGAATCCCAACATTTTATCAGCCTTAAAAACATTGTTACAAGAGACCTGAATTCATGAAAAACTCTTGATGTTGCAAACCATAATTATCTCTTACAGACAGACAAGGATGTGTGAGATTAGATTGAAATTGATAAACATGGAAATCAGTGCCTCATTGAGTCCTTCTTTCTGTTAAGCAGTTGTGATAGAAGACAATGTTTGCCAAATAGTGGGATTTTATCAGCTGTCTTTTCTTAAACCTTGAACTCCTAAAGAGATGAGTTTAATTCTCCCCTCTAGCTCCTTCACATTCTCCTATAAATTAATTGAGAGAATCTGTTAATAGATCAAGAGATAAACTTCTACCTGATAAGTTTAAGTATTCTCATTCCCTGTTTGCTGGATATTGTACAGATATAATAGGAGAAGTTACATGTTGATCACTTCTGAGAGTCCAAGGGTTTTGGTGTGCATGTATTAATTAGTTATTTTTCCTTTGATTACTTCAGTTGAAGTTGAACGTCCAGCAGCACATAATGCCACAGTTACAAGACCTGTTCCATAACCTGGAGAAGGACTTCTCTCCTCTTCAGTTTTGCTCTAGGGTCAATGAATTCTTTGAATTCTTACAGGAGAATGAAGAATTAGAATTGAATCAGTACATTACACCCTTGCAGTATGTTGCCATTGTGCGGCTGCTCAAACAGGTATTGTTGCTGTAAATGGTGCATCTAAACGTGTTGCTGCAATGGCTCTTTAAATTTTGGTCCTGTCCTTATCATTGCTGTACATCTACTGTTTCTTTTGCCAGAATACCATCTTTATTAGTAATCCCTCTCCTCCAACGAGCAGGGCTTGACACTAATGTTAGCCAACCAGCCACAGACTAGTAGAAGTTCAATTGTGGCTAGTGGTTTTTTATTTCCTCTAACTAGTTTGGCTAGTAAACAAACCGACCAACCAGCATGTCTGATTTTGCGACCACCTTACTTCTCAATCGAGTACATAGAAATCCAACCGGAGGTCAAAGACTTACTCAATGATTCACATAAATCGTACTTCAAGAATATTTTTCGCTGTTGATGCAGTGACTGCAGAGATAGAGAGAGAAAGTCTTAACCCGGGCCCGGTTGTTTGAAAACCTTATGAGGTACTGCAGCTGTGCAATCGCAACACCACAGTGTTTTGATTTAGTAACAAAATGCCAAATATGGGCCAAAATTGCCTTCTAGAACATATTAACAAATACCGATTTGAAGACCAAAATCTTGCATTGGAAGTTCATGTCAAAAAGTAACTTTTCTGCGTTATATTTTCGTGACGAGTTTGTTTCTAAAACAAGGATTGTGTGACGTAACGTTCTAATCTTGTAACTCCAACCCCTGTGCCCTTTCGAACCTTCACCATCTTAGATATTTGCCAGTAGGATGTGGTCTTCTTGGTTGAAATTCATATTTTTGTTTGTAATCTTCAGCGTAGCATTTGCAAAACCCAATGTTCTTGTGTTTCTCGTGGATGACCTCGGAATCGCAGATCTGGGCTGCTTCGGCAACGATACGATTAAAACTCCGAACATAGATCGGTTGGCCGAACAAGAAGCTCCTCTGCGACATGATGTAACACCAGATTCTATCTGCACACCAAACAGGGCTGCATTCCTAACAGGAAGATATCCCATCCGGTCAGGACTGGCTTCAGATCAGGGTCAAATAAGAGTTTTTATTTTCGCTGCTTCATCTGGTGGTCTGCCTCCAAATGAAACAACGTTTGCTGAGATTGCATCTGCTGCTGGCTACAAAACAGGTATGCTCTTGTGCAATTATCATTTCTCATTCCCGTTGTTATATAAATGTTCGATGTATTTCTTTTGTTGTTTTGCTGTGCTCAAACAGTGAGCGCTTTATTCACACATCTACGTATTTTTATCTCAATTTCTTATTTTAATTACAGAAACAGTATTTACAACGCGGACAATACAGTACTAATAAAATCTAGGATACATTAGTTACACTAATGCAACTAATTTGCACCAAGGTCAGTTTTTGCGGGGCGTGCCGCTGGCCTCTCAGAATCTCTTCCCTTTAGAGTCTGTTTTGTGGCCAGTTATAGACCTAATCGCAGTCACTTTTGGGCGAATGTAATTTTTGCGATCCCAGCTTAGTCAGTTTCTGTTTATCCAGCTACCTACAAAGCCTTTTAGCAGAAGAAAATCGCCCTAAATCGAGTTGAAGCAGGGTGTGTTTTCACTAGGACAAGTTTGACTAGTTGAAGTCGGAAAAGTCCGGAAGTACAGTGAAAACAACTTGTCCTAAGTTTACCGAGTTAAAATGCAAGCTGTTTTCGCAAGAAAAACAAGGGATTATCTCGCCTTTATGACCGGAAATTCCTACAAAGTTATACTGCCTCACAAGATAGTGTAACTCGTCCTGATAAATGCTGCAGCCAACCACATTGCCCATAGCGACAGATGCCTGCCTCGGGACACGTGCTATGGCATTTCTTTGCGATAGGAAAAGTATAACAAGGGAACAAACATAAAAAAGCCGCCTTATTCTTGCTAGCAGATGATGCACTGCCATCTGCATTATAAGTCGCCGTTTCCTGTCTACGCGAATGGTGCTTGAGAGGCATAAACGCCGAAAACACAAGATATCTTCCTTACTTTTGTCAGCCATATTGGCGGGGGACTTAGAGCGGAGTCTGGGCATGAAGCTATCACTCGCACTCGGGAATTAAATTCGGCACAATTAAATGCGACGTTTAAATCAAATGCCGAACTTTTTTAATTCAGGTCGTCTTAAATTAGTATTAGATTCGGCGCATGTAAAATGCGACGTTTAAACTGGACCTAACCTTTTATAAAGTGATCGCTACAAGCGCGAGTATTTTCAATGGTTTTTTCGTCCAGATCGCTCCTGAAAATACGGGCAAGCCACAGGCGTCTTCGCTCTATGCAAGGTTTGCGAATGGCCTCTCCTTGGAATGTTTTGATGCCTGGAAATCTAAAAGATGAATACACTCCTTCGTCTCTGATACTATTGTGACCACAGTTATTAACTGCGCAAATACAACCCATTGAAAAAGCACTTACAAGAACAAAGAATACCGGTAACCCCTCACGGCGCTTTGTGTCGTCCACCAGAAGATCGTTTGTTTATCCACCAGAACTTTTGAATACCAGAGTGCGCAATTAGTGTGACGTCACGTGAGGAAGAAGAATGGATAAGCTATTTTTTGTTTACAATTAATTTTGTTCAGGTCGATTAGGCTCATCGATTAGTAATGAGTTCCACTAAACATTAAAACATTCACATGGGAAGAGAGTTAACTTTATCAAATGACTTCTTCAGATAGATGAAAAGTTGGAAGCTTTTTAGGGTCTAAGTAACCTGGAGATAATAACTTGTCCATAATCCCATCCTCTCTTCCCCCACTCCTTAAATTGAAAAAAAAAAAAGACTGAGGAGGGCACACGTTCCTTACTAGATTTTAGGGGGGCCATAACGTCTCTTGTTAATATGAAATACTTTGAAATTCCATCAACATAAAGCTGTACTATAGGACTCTCCAAATTTGCGTTCGCGGTGAAAAGGAAAATGTGCTTTTGATCATGGTCTAGCCGATCTCTGGCACATGTCTCACCATTCTCCTGCCTGGAGCCACTTGGTTTTACCTGCCGTTACTCAAGGAGCTCGTGACCAAAAGAAGGGAATCTAGGAACGAGAATGATCTTTCGAGTACTCGCTGGGTTACTTTTAATTTAACACAAAGTTACGACAGCCAGATTTCCAGTCTTCATTGGGTGGTCGATGACATTGAATAATTTCGCTTTCTTATAAGAAAACACATTCATTGGCTGTTTTTTGACTTTTTGATCCTCGTTATCACTGCACCGATAAGGAAATGCTGTACTTTGGGGCAAAGGTGGGATATGGGATGCTATACCTGGGGGCAAAGTTGGGATATGGGATGCTGTACCTGGGGGCAAAGTTGGGGTATGGGATGCTGTACCTGGGGGCAAAAGTGGGATATGGAATATGGGATGCTGTACCTGGGGGCAAAGGTGGGATATGGGATGCTGTACCTGGGGGCATAGGTGGGATATGAGATGCTGTACCTGGGAGCAAAGGTGGGATATGGGATGAAGCTTTTAAATACTTTTATGATCCCTACTAATTAGCAGTTAATTGGCAGTCCATTTTCTACAGTCCGCCCTTTATACTCTGTTTGCTAGTGACGACTGATCCCTACTCCATCCCCCCTAAAAGGCATGTGATCGCCCAGAAATTCTTCCCCTCCCCCCAGGCGATAAATGATGGCTGGTCTCTTAACACTGCTCGTATTAATTACTTATCTTTGTCAGATTGGTGACGACTGATCCCCACCCCATCCTCTCTGAAAAGTATGTAGTACCCCCCAGAAATTCTCCCTCTTCCCACAATGGCTGGTCTCTTAACGCTGCTGGCATTAATTGCTAATTCTTTGTCAGTTTGGTGACGACTGATACCCGCCCCATCCCCCTGGAAAACATGTGATATCCCAGAAAATCTTCCCCTTCCAGGCGATAAGAAATAGCTGGTCTCTCAACGCTTCTCGCATTTTCACTTATTCTTTGACAATTTTTTTTACCATAGGGATGATAGGGAAGTGGCATCTTGGTCTTCATTCTTCCTCCAACTCCGACTTTCATTTCCATCCTCTGAAGGAAGGTTTTCATTATTTTTATGGTATGCCATTAAGCAACAGTAACTTTTGTCTCTTCGGTGGTAAGCACCCCAAGTCGTTTTCATATCAGGGACTCACACCAACGAAAATTGTCATAGCTGCTTCAGTTGTTGCAATATCACTATTCATTGGCTACTTGACTGGCTGGTTGAGCAAGAGGACCTGCGTCCTTCTGTTAACTACGATCGTGTTGTTCAGCCTTTCTATTTCAAGATATGACACGATGACACCTCGATTCAACTGTTTTGTAATGAAGAATTACAAGGTTGTGGAACAACCGGTCATTTTGGAGAACCTGTGCCG